AGAGGTTGAAATTTATAATTCATTTCCCCGGCGTTATCGTCTCAAAACAAGATAACAATTCTTGTAATAAAAAGATTTCACGTCTGACATAAAGCGGCAGTGTATGTGTATTAAATCTTCTCAGATTGGGAATTAGCCGCTTGACCGGAAAGGAGACACAAAAAATCTGTGAGATAAAACGGAAAGGGATTTGGCGTATGGAGGCTGTTTAAGTCGTTAACAATGAAGCGTACTAATTTCAATTACTTTTTCGGATCACAATAAAGAGACCAATTTTGCATAAAGTTAATTTTGCTCAAACAGTTAACAGATACTTGCGATTCATACCAAAATTCGATCCGTGCTAAGTTTTCCCTCGAGGTAAAATTTTCAGAAGTCGGCCAGCCTTGAATACTTTCTACGAAAACTAAAGAATTAATAGTATTGTCCGCCTCCTTTCGTTTTTTTTCCTTTCATCGAGATTTTCTCCTCCAAGACATAACATAAAAGAGAAGACAAACTTTCTTATTTCTTGGGGGTAACAACTAAAGCTGTTTAAATAGTAATAATTACTAACAATCCCCTCACGAGTATTAATTGCTACCTCTCGTTTCAAGTTGATGTTTGCCTGCGAAAAGTTTTCCGAAAAAAATTGCGTGCTTTTTCTTGATCATCTCATCGACTTTTAATGCTGTTGTATATAAAGTAGATCGGCATCTTCGAAGTTAAGTGTCAGCTCCGGCATTGTGTCTCGTCGTGTACCACCAAAATGTACACAGTTCGCCCCCGAAAGAGCTCTTTTAATTTAATATTGTGTTGGATAATTTGCATTACTGTAGGCACTCGTGTAGGCCTGATCAAAATTGATAGTTTCACTGGGTATTCTGTGGGTTGACCAAATGATAACGCAACTTGATTTTGAACTTAAACCTCATTCTGTTTTGCCAAATTTTCTTAAATCGCTCACATCTCCTGGTCGCATAAACAGATATTTCTTCGATCACGAGATCTTTTTTATTTGAACTGAATAGTGGCCTTGGAAAATGCATTATATGTTATTTTGAACTTTTTCAAACCAACCACTCGACCTGAAATACACTTTGTCTACATCATTTGGTAGTAGTTTGAAGACGTTACTTTCGTATGCTTTCTACAAAAAATTGGCGCCGCTTTGGCGCCTAAGGGGGAGTTGACCGAATTTTTTTCTGTCTTTCAGCGTCTGAAACTTAATGTTTAAAACCACATGCACACGAAAGACCATAATTTACATGTCTTACACCAAAATAGCTATCATGTTGTCTTGCAAGGCGATTGTAAAATTCTCGAAGAAGTTTCCTCGCACAGGAGGAAACGAATTGGTGAACACCTTGAAAGTTCATGGATAAGTCAATTTCCCAACACTTAAAAAGGGGCCAAAAAGGTCGTTTTGACTCTCAAATAAATTTAGAAATTGTCAATTGTCGGTTTTGTTGCCGCTGTTAATCCAACACTGTCGTGCTTTACCGAAGGGTACTTACACCGTAAGTTGAATTTATCTAAAGCTGAACCACCCAAAGCTCTTCGGATTGTTTAATCCCAATAAGAAAGACATGCAGTTCAGCCTCGGGACACTAAGATGTTTATCAAATTTATTACTTCACCTCGAGCCAAATGATTTACGGCTTCCAATTCCCGGTGTGATTTCCATCATCGATTGTTAATCATCGATTCTTGGAAAAATTAATCATCTTCAGAATGTACTCTGTAAGAATATTTCTCTCTTATGTTTTGTACCATTAGTTTGTATTTACGGCGAGAAGAAAATTTATTCATTGAATTTATCACTTTCAATTCCATCTTAGAAAAGATATAATTAGCACAAAGTTGAATATTATTTGTTGCAAATTCACTGGCGGCTAGTAAATGGTGGATACCCAGACTTCATTAGCCACATTAGCAAAAATTTTTTTAGCACTAAAATATTCTAAATTATGGAAATTATCGTCAAATGACGGAGTAAAAGAATTAGAAAGATATTACTACAACCAGGTCGATTTGGGGACGTACGTCCTGTTTATTATTCAAGACGAACTGCAATGGAGACGACTACGTCAAGTTTTCTTTAATAAGTTTTCAAAAAGGTAATGCTATACCTATTACTCTGGCGTGAACTTCAGGTTATCTAAAACTAACTGATATCACTGAGAGAAATTTATAATAAAACCTTTCGAGCAATATCAGGACAAGTATGGAATTTGCAGACCTAGGCTGTTACTTGCTTAGGATTTAAAATTTCCATGCAGATTCTCTTGGGGCACAGAAAATAACGTTTTAGAGAGAAAATTTGAACTATTTTGAGATAAAAATTAAGACTTACTAATGATATCCCTCCGTTTCCAACGCGTTTTGCTTCACTATTAGAACGAAACAAAAGAAACTAAGTACAATTGACAAAACGTCGAGAAGGGAAAATGAAATTTTAGACCACGTGCGTCAGCCAAGGACAGCGGGTATCTCGCTGAGCTATAGTTAAGCGGGTTGATTAACTCAATGATACCACCCGTGTTGAAATCTATCCAAGATTGACAAGATGTCCTTTGAAGCTAATGGAAGCGGAAAAATTGAATCGGATCCGAAAGAAACAAACAACTAACAGATAGAAAATTGCGATGATCTTATAGGGGACTTTTAAATAGTTAGATGGCAGTCATTACAAAAGTATCAAGTCGAGGGGATACAAAACAATTGAAAGCTTGTAGTCCAAGAAATTTAAGAAATACGGCTTATATTGTAACACGGAATCATTTTGAGCCATGACAGGATCTTCCTATTACATCAGTACGATACCGAATGTCCTTGGATCTCCAGTAATCGCGAACCAGACCAAATCTAATTGATTTCAAGTTTTTAAGGTTTAGGACATTAAGGCGCATCTGCATGTTAAAAAATTGAGCCCTTAATATTGCGGAAAAACTTTATTGATGAATTAATTATTTTATAATTGGACCTCTTGGTCCTAGACACGCTTTCGTATAACATTGCCCCTATCCCCAGCAAATAATGTCATCTGAGTCGAAGGCCTGTGTCTTCAGCCTGTTGACCCATTTCAGTAAGTTTAACATGGAAACATTTGTGTCAGACACGTAAGCGTATAAAAACAAACGACGTAAAACCCTCAGGCGACGGATCAAAACAATACATGGCTCTATTTTATTAATTTGAATTTAGTCTTGTAAGTGTGCATCTTAATAAAAACTCAGCAAATTAAATTCCGAACCGTATGGGTGTTTCTTTAGAAACTCAGTTCTGCTGTTGAAAATAAAAAGCACAAGTTTTAGAGGTAGATTTCGTGATTTGCTGTCGCGTGAGGCGGCCATTCATCGTCTGGAACAATCTAGCATCATAAAGTACTAACGGGCTGCAATATAGCCATCTATCTCGCATGTACACCAACAATTAAGAACATTCAATACCAAGTCCCGAAGCATTTAATTTTCAGAAATGCGGACGTAAACTTAGGGATATTGAAACACTCGGTGGTAAGACACGACGCTTACATTTGCGCGCAATAACGAAGTTTTCTGCTACCGGCATTAGAAAATGCCTCGGGCAATCTATATTAGCCACGCTGAACGATTTGTGCCTGAAGCCGTAAGCTGTTTACAGAGTTAGCAGATTGAATAAGACTGAAACCTTCAAAATGTAACCATTTTGGTTCATTTATTCAACCTCTCATAGTACTATTACAAACGGGTTAATCCGACACTTCTAAAGGGACAATACTTTGGTGACAATAACTTCAGCTTTCGTGGAAACTGTAAACTTAAATACGAGTAAACTTGTTCATTTGAAATCTTTCCAAGGAATAACTGAAATATTTTCTCGAAGCGTAAATGATCCCTCTAAATATTACCCACAAAATTTGAGTCTGCGTTGATCACATCACGATGAAATTCGTCGACTTTGCATTTTCGCGATTGATAATTTTGAGGATTCACCAGCTCAAATGAAGGAAGTGTCATTTACCTCACGGAACAGAGAAACATAGTATTTGGGCTTAGTTAAAATCTTGCTTGTGGCATTTGTCATGCTAATGGTTGTCATAGACATTTCATTTCTGAGTACTTAACAAAAGCAGAGGCGAATTAGTACCCCAGTGTTATTCTAACGGGTGACCAAGCCACTTTGGAGTTGAAAATAATTGTCCATCTCAAAGTCAGGTTGCACCTGCCTTACGTATTCATAAACAAGTAAAAGTCTCTCAAGATAAATTATAAGCGTTCTTTCTTTTGAAAGAAAAATTCCAGTAACTTCTGAAACAGTAAAATAGAACGCCGTAGCGTTAACTTCAAATGCTACGTAACAAAAAGACCAAAACAAAAATACTTTTTTGGAGAAATGTCAACTAAGAAAGGCAATTGTCAACTACTCTGAAAAATTTTAAACTTATGCTAAAAACAAAGGCTTCAAATGGCGCCAAAATAGCCTTAGAATGGCTAGAAGTGCAATCCAATTATAATTTTAGTGAAATTAAAGACAATAATTTGTTTTGTTTTTGTAGCAGATGTTTTTACTTCAACTGTGACAATTTTATTATTTTAACAGAAGCATCTAAAACTCCTATCATGTTAAACAAGTTAACAGAGGAACAACGTGAAAACTTTTATGTTAAAAGGACCACAAATGTATTAATGATTCTTTAAGTAAACGTTTATACCAGTGACAAAGGAGGCTGCTTATTAAATTGAAATAAATTTTCGTAAGCTGCCATCGCATCTTCCTGTTCGGGGTATTCTTACACCAGGTGTACGGGAAGTTACGAGTACAATTTTTTGTTCTCGGATGACATTGGAAGTTTACTACGGAAAATTCGGGTAACAATATATCTTAAACGTACCGTGCTTTTGAGTTTGTTGAATTTGAATTTGACAGATGGTAAATTGAAAAGCTTTTAACATAGCGCAAGCTTCACGTAATTCTATACCTATCCACCAGTACAGTCTAATGGATGAAGCCCCTCCCTCGAAATATTTAGCCGTTGAATCGGTAACTACATTATATGCAACAAAGAAAAGTTCTGTCATCTAGTTGTTCAGATCACGCTTACTTCCTCGAGGTCTGTGACCGTATCTTTGCCTCGTGGTAGATACCCTTGATTTCTTTTGCGCCAACAACAGTTCAAGTACATCGACGGGTTCAAGGTATGACAGAGATTTCCTCCAATTAACAATTATTTGTCAAATCCGCGTATAAGAAGTGCGAGCCTAATCTAACCTTGTATGCTGAATCTCCCATATGATCCACGCCATTTCACACAGTTTAAGACAATTTCACTGATTTTGAATCTAATCTATTTTCAATGTTACACTGGATCAATTTTAGCCGATTACGAAATAAGAAATCATCTCGTCTAATTTGTCAAAATAGGTTTAAACACTTGTTCAAAAGAGGTTTTCGGTTGCCCTCGATCGCCTTGTACCAAAATGAAATCTGACATTCAAAGAGGCTTTATTGTAACATCATGTACGCTGTTAAAATCCACATCGCATCGCTACATTTAGTTAACAAATGACAACATATTGGGGTTTTAAAGTTCCTGTTTACTTTCTGATGTAAAACATAATTTACCATAAATTTTACTTCAACGGATTTTTTAAAAGTCAATTCGATCGAAAACAATGCTATGTGTTGCAACTTAATTTTCAGTTAATTTGTATGAAGTCTTAATGCTTCAAAGACAGCTTTAAGCAACGCAGCATTTCTAAACCCATACAATATCAAGTTAGTTTGTTTCCCAAGCTAGTTATTTTTTCTGCTAAAATAATTGGGCAGCTTTAGGAAAACACAAATTATTGTTTCCTGGTTAATATTTTAACTTTATTTCGTAAATTACTCAGCTCTCCTTGCGAAATATCATCAACTCTTTGTACAAGTATGCAGTGCTGCAGATTCTGTAGCGCCTAGTGTTGTCTCTTCTTGTTTTTTAATTTTATGTACTGACATGTGAAAAGTTCCGTCGCTTTTTCCACATCACCTATAAGCTTCTTAAATAGTTTCTGGCTCTAGATTCATAATTATAACTATCCTTCTAGAAACTGTTAGTCTGATTGTTAGAAGTTGTATCTGCAAATTGAAATTCTTTAAAAAAAGAATTGATTCCAAGAAAATATTTGTTTGACAACAACAACAAATGGAAACATCGCGAACTTTTTTTCTTCAAATATCCGTGTACCACGAAAACAACATTCTGTAGTCAAAAAAAAAGTTGAGTATTTCAAGAAACGGACTGTTATGAACAACCCAGAACTCTGTTTCAAAATTTTTACTTATTTTATTGAGACTAAAAACACTGTTTAAAATTGAATTTTTTTTGCCAGTTATCAGATTACAGGATGTTTTAGCGCCCAGACAAATGTTCAACTAATGACATATACGAACAATGAAAAGGGCCAAGGAACTCGAAGTTTCACTTGTTCACCTCGTAAAGTAAATTGTAGTCATTCCTGAAAAATATCGTGAAGTCAAGACTATGCAGGTACGGCTATTCAAGAAAGAGAAGTAGAAATTTTGGTACAATGTCTCCTAAACACGTCTCTGCTAAAAAAGATTCAAATTTGTTTTATACTTTCCAGCCTTTATCGTGTTTCTTCTGCACGGTTAAATTTTTGGCTTCCCATATGATATAGGATAAGATTTTTTTTTATCAAAAATGACTCCTTTTGAAACAATATACTAATCCTGAGTTCGACTGAGACAAAAGATAACCATTAAGGGCAGAATTATCGGAAAACTGTAGCAAAACACGTCAACGAAAAAAGAAGTAGAATAACAGAAAAGACGACAGTCAATCGGTATTGCGAAAGGAATTTCTTAGCTGGCTGGAAAGTTCTCTATTATGAAAATTTCCTTTAAAAATGGTACAATTGTTCCCCAAACTTTCAATAAGATGACATTTTATTTCCGTATAAAGTTTGTTTGTCAAACTCTCGGTATTGACTAATTGTCTATTCATTACTTGGCTTAACGCGAGGATTAGGTAAAAACAACTTAAAAAACGAGATACAAAATGAAACAAGAAAGTGGAAAACAACAGATTCAGTTGAGTCATTTATTTTCAAGAAGTCGTGTATTATGTTTCAAAGAAATATCAGTTTGGTTCAACTACTGTGGCTGGAGGCTGTGTTTTCTTTAGGACCTCTTTGCAATAGGAGCCTTTCTCAGTTGTTTTTATTGATCTAACCGCAGTCCATTTAAAAAGTCGAAAAGTGTTCTTAATCTTCATAGCTTCAAGGCTTTTTCAAACAATACTTCTTGATTTTGACTTGTAAAAAACCCGTTTTCTGTTGTTAGGTATACAAACTTAAGAGTTTTATCCGTAATCAAGGGTGTTTACTGGTCAGAATTATTCAGGCGTGTTTGTTTTTCACTAGATTTTCACATCTAGCTCTCCTCTAAGGTTTTTTTTTCCACACTTTAGGACAGGTTTCACATCGAAATAGGGAATATGCTAAGTAACTCTTAACACATTTGTTCTGATCCTATATCTACTCTGTACTTATCAAGAATCAATACTGTAAACAATTATGCTGTGTCATTTACTGATAAACATCAATGTTCATTAAAATCATTAGGCATAAAAAACGACCATCTTCTTTTTGGTACGGTGAATAATTGTTTCTTAAGCCAATTTTGGATACGATCTTAAGCAATTATAACAGTGCTTCATATCTAAAGAGGAATGACTGATAAGTCTACCTGAGCAGTTTACAATTTTTTTTATTTCCCTGTAATGGGACTTCACAGATGAGGTTAGACTTCCCCTCTTATAATCTCTCTTTATCTTTTTTTATAGTTAAGAATTATGAGTGACACCAAAGAGGAGCCCGAAAATCAAGAAGAGGAAGAGACCAGCACTTCTTCTACCCTTCATCACAGAGTTCCGAAATGTGCTCGCTGTCGCACGCATGGCACAGTTTCTTGGCTCAAGGGTCACAAACATTATTGCCGTTGGAGGGACTGCACTTGTGCAAAGTGCCAACTTATTACCGAGAGACAGCGAGTGACCGCCGCACGTGTTGCCTTACTGAGACAGCAGAGAAAAGGAGCTGAGTTGAGGGCAAAATATCAAAGAGAACTGGAAAACGCCCGGTTGACGTACTCCATGGTGTTTCAAACCAACGGATTAGCTGGTAGGGCCAATTTCCATTTTCGTATTTCCCTTCCCTTTATTTTCCCATTCTTCCTTTCCCTACTGGTTCGCTCCTTCATAACTTTCTCAATTCGCAACTTTCAGTCTCCTCTTACTTTATTTTAGCTGCTTTGCCCCGTGAAAATTTTTTCATCAACCTTTTTCAAATTGTCATGATGATATTTAATATGCTAAGCCTGAATTCGCCTCTAAGAACACTTTCAATCGATTTTCCAGGATTCCCAAGCAGCCATCGACACCATTTTTATCACCATCCACCTCAAGCAGAGATTGGTCATCTGGAACCAAGGATAACGGAAATTAGACCGCAAGCAGGTAGGCCATAACAGTTTTCATTTGGATTGTCGTTATTTCTAGCTCTTTCATAAGGGATTTCCTTGGCAATTCCCTTCTCTAAACATCACTTTTTCCGAACCGACAACCAAAAAACAGTGCTTTTTACAGTGTTTTGGTTGTTTGAGCTGTTTTTCAGCCGCGGTGGCGGTTATTTTTTCATGTATATTATTAACTACGAAAGAGCATAGGTTGCTATCACAATTTGAAATTTACAACGATGACTGAAAAAAAGCAATAGCGTATTTTTCACTTCATTTCCCCTTAACCTCAATAGCTCTTTAGCGATTTTCTTTAATTAACAATATACATGGAAAAATTACTCAGTTCTGATTGGATAAGATAAATGCAGTTTTCAGGTAATTCAGTGCAGAAGAGAGTTAATTCAGTGCAGAAGAGGGTTAATTCAGTGCAAAGAAAGAAACAAATAAGACATTCTGATTGGTCAATAATCAAAGAAACTCACAGATAGCCAATCAAATGCGAGCCTTGGATGTCGCAACAAAATTTGAAAATTTGAAAATTTGCGAGCGAAGCAATGGCCGGCGTTTTAAGCAGGCTTTCTTTTGCCACCGCAGCTGAAAAACAGCTTAAACAACGAAAACACTGTTAAAAGCACTGCTTTTTGGTTGTCGGATTGGAAAAAGTGGTGTTTAGAGAAGGGAATTGCCGAGGAAATCGAAAATTACGAGCCGACCCAGCTTAACACTTTGCTCGAGCGATCCAACGCCGAAATTAAAAACAAACATAGTTAAACCTCGGAAACGACGATTCCATTTAATCGAAAGTGATTCGGACACAGACTGAACAATTCCTTGAACTCTTTTACACCTTAAAGATGTGAAGATATCATTGCATAATTTATTATTGTTTTGATCGTACGCGGTTGTTTTGACCGAACGCGTGATTTGAATAAATTATTTTTGCACTTGATGCGCGCTTTGCTTATGTTTAATTATGATAAGCCATCTCGTATTTTTCCATGTATATTATTAACACGTAATCACATGATTTTTCTCGTGCAATTCGGAATAAACAAGCACTTGTTAATTTTTTCAAAGACCACAAATTGCAACCGCCCTACGGGCTCGTGTCGGCAATTTTGTTAGTCTTTAAAAAAATTTACTCGTGCTTATTTATTCCAAATTGCACTCGAAATCATGTGATTACCTATACAAAACACGAATTTTTTTTAGTATATATTTCAAGAGACCAATCGAAATACCGAACACCGAAAGCAGAAGCTATGCACTCAATTATACTTTTGTCTTCAGGTACAGAACCTCTGAAGCGGTGCGGCTCTGTCTCGGAGGATGAAGAAGAAGAGAGAACCAGCCCCAAAAGAATTGCCCTCTCCCCAGACCTCGAAGTTAAACCAGAACCTCGCGAGCATACTGAAAAAGGTGTCCACACCAGCTCCGCCGAGGAAAGAAAAACTCCTGATCATTCTGTCGACCAAAACATAAATCCAAACCATAAATACCTACTGGAAAACTTTCATGAAAGGCCTCATGATTTCAGATATCCAAGGATTTCAAAAGAGCTAAGTATGCTGTCTCTAAGGCATCCACCAATGGAATTACTTAGCAAGCTGTTTCCTCATCATAACAAGGGCACACTGGAGCTCATTCTTCAGAGTTGCCATGGCAGCGTAGTAGAAAGCATTGAGCTATTGTTGTCCTCCCAAGAATCAAGAAGCAATAATATGTCAGCGTTGGCTGGATGCGGCCTTCCTACAGCCAATCACACTCCTCCCTTCCTGCATGGTCCAATGACTCGCAACGTCATAACGAGACCGTTGCCCAGCACGCATGCATGTTCGCCTTCAAGAATTTACCCACCATCACCACTTCCGCCGCCGTTGCTCGTGAAACCTAAACCGGAAATGCCAATCAAGTTTTCTTCTATGCCGCATAACCCTTACGGTGGCGATTCTAGGCTAGGAGAGCGGGCCTGTGGGCTTCCTTTGAGCCGTTTTTGTAGCAGGTGTGGTCACAAGATAAACATGTTTGACAAGTTTTGTGCCCACTGTGGAAAGGTTCTAAATGAAGCAACTGGTCTTTAAATCAAAAGCCACCCTGCCAGACTATGCATGTAGAATTGATGATACCATGGAGACAGAACTTAAATAAGATTTTAAATAATAGAGTAACTGACCAAGTATGTGTTGAAGTAGAGGACGAATTTCAATAACGATTTCGTATAATTTCTAAAAAAGCCTAATATAGACAGAAAAGAATGTAATTAAGTACTGCTGCGTGACTTCTAGCCTATTAGTGAAACGTTATAAAGAACAACAACAGCGAGGAGGCTATCTAATATAATGAGTTATCAAAAGTTAACGATAGTTTAACCCAATTGAAACTGGCATTTCAAAACCTTTTATTTTGTTGTGCATTTTAGTATACATATCCACGAGTCCTATTTTTGAACAATTCTTTATAGTAAATTCCTATGTTTTCCGTTATTATTTAAAACAACCTACCAGTATTTTTAACTCAGAGCCTCTTTTCCCAAATTTGATTGGACGGAAAGGAAAGACGAGAGTTATGGCCTTGATACTTCTTAATTTCACAACATTCTAAGGGAGGAGAAAGGCGGGTTTAACTGAAAACTTACTGATCTATATATAACTTACATTTATCTTGGATCATATTTTTAAGGGACGCAACACTGTTTAAGTGGAAAGGCTATCATTGGGTGGTGGGTAACTTAGGTCTGACGTTTACATGATTAGTAGGGTTTGATAAGATGGAAGTTGTTATAGAATGAATTATTAAGGTAAAGAAAATTTCCTAGTATTTGTTTCCGAGTTTACCGTAATGTAAGGAATTTTGTACCAAGAGATCCTCGCCTAGAAATAATTAAGGTAGCTGGGGAGACAGACAGAAGTTAGAAAGGTATTTGCGATAATTTAAAGTACACTGTCACATGATTTCTTTTTCAGTATTCATTATCCTAATCTAGCCGAAAGTGGACTAACATTATCAGTTTCAGCTCCTAAGATGTGAAGGAGGAAAGTGCGTTTTGTGGAAGTTTGCGAATTCAGCAAACTTCCTGAGGAGAATTCACATTTAAAAAAGATCACCACAGATATTTAGAATGGAAAGAAAAATTTATAGAAATAACATGATAGTCTGCATAACAATAACAAAGAAAATGATGAGAGTATTAGTCACAAGATAGAATTTTATCGCTTCAGATTAATAAAATGAAATTGTAAAAAAAAACGAGTGGATACTTTTGATTAGGTGCCACATTCACTAATCTAGCTGCTCTGAACTCTTGCTTCGGCACTCCTATTAAAATTAAACTGTTATATGGACTTCTGGAGTTTTTTTATTGTAATAAATTAACGGTTTCGCTGCCTTTAGCAATCCGCCACTGCATGTGACATATGGCTTCCCACTAATTGTATCGTGAAGGAACAATTGAAGTCTTCAGTCTTCTGAGTATTATTAGACCCCCGAAAGCCGGACTGGATAAGTATTTTTCCACAATTTATCGCCTTAAAAAAGATTAAAAAGGGTAAGATTTTGGTGGGGGAGAAAAGAAAGCAGTAAACCAAATGCACCGCCAAAAGTAAAGGTTAATCTCTACGTGAATACAGAAGGATAAATGAAACACAGGGGAAAAAAAAAAGCACAGACATAAGACGATCCTTTTTGGTAAAGGATACACATGCGTGGCCACCTCGTCTACAAGGCGCTTTCTCTTTTTATCACATGCGCGGCAAAATAACTGAATGCTGATTAACTGAAGCAGAGGGCATTTTTTCTTAATTGGTAATCAAGAGGGCATGATTACTCGATGCTGATTGAGCCTTTGATTTATTGATTTCAATTTAACTAAGTGAAGCCGTGTAACGTTGTCAACTCGGGCCTCTTATCGGAAAACTTTGAAAGTACAAGTGAAATCAATCCTTAAGTGCCCTCGGGCCTATTTCATTACATATGCAAATCGACGGGTCACGGTTCCTGTCAATGCTAACCGAATACCGAGCCATCTTTCTTTTCGTTTGATTTCTCGGTGAGAATAATTGGTACTTAGATGATTCGGAGTGGAGTTTGGAAAAAGAGCACCATAGTGATTCATGTGTAAGATGGAAACTCAGTAAAGAGAAGCGAAGAAGCCAAGCTCTCAGACGTGTGCTCACGATTTTTTTTTGAGAATTGTAAGAAGATGCCTTTTGAAATTGAACGATCAGCGAGACATTTCTGACAGCGATTATTTCATGTTCTGGATAGAAAAAATGAGTTTAAAAATACAGAAACCGTATAACGACTAGACTGTAGGTTATCCGTGCCACAACTGAGATAGAAAGACTGAGAGGCATTTCAAAAGAGGAAATTAAACAATTGAACCAAGTTGAGGGCTTACAAGTCAGGCCTTCGACAAATGCGAAAAATCTCGACATTATACAAATAAAATCACGTTTTTAATTTGTAACGTTTATTTTTTAACTGAAATGGGATGATTTCGTGCGAATTTCCTTTTCTTACTGTTGATAAGTCTATTATCAGATCGCGGAGTTCATTGTTTCAACTAAGAAGATTTATCTTATCAAGGGTTCAGAGAGAGGTAAGCTAACCCACGATTATTACACTTTCAGGAATTCTCGCCAATCCGGTTTACGGTGAAAGAATTTTTTCCTTTATCAGGTTTACTTTCATACGTTAGTCCCAGTCGGCTGGGTTTCGATAGTAGCCTGCACGTACTGTCTCCTCCCCCCTTCCCCTCCGCCCTTTATTGCGTGGGGCGAATTGTGTAAATGAAGTCGGCTAGTAGTAATTTTCAAATCGGAAGGAATACACGTAATGACAAACAATATCCTACTTTTTATCATCATTAATAATTTCTTGTTTTTGGTTTGCTTTTTGAAAATATCCATGATCGCAAACGCGCTGTACCAAAATGGCACACGTGACATAGCTTGAGCTAGACATGCATATATAAGGAGCAGTGTCTAAACAGTTGACGACTTGTTGTTTGGATTTGACCACGAGTGATATTCTTGAAGAGTAAATCATTTTGAAGGAGCAGACATGAGCATCTTAGTCACAGCGCTAAGATCAGGCAATTTAGAAGTCGTGAAAGAGAAATTCTCTCGACCCGTGAGTAAAATGATTTGTTTCGTTTTGGATTTTCTGTTTCATTCTGAGGTTTGACACCTTATCTTTGAAACACGATTTGAAGAGCCGAAATAACAGAGATAAAAGCTGTAACTGTCTATAATCTGAAGATTTGAGTGTTTTGGAACAGTGTACGTCTTGCTGTGAACAAATTGTGCTAAATGTGATATCCTAGTTAACTTAATCTTTTTGATAACTTTTCACCAAGCAATTGGTATGTCCACCGTATTAGAATGCATCGAAGGCGTCGTTGTCAATCCATAATCACCCACCTACAGGATTAAGAATATCTTATTGCTGGCCATGATAGTCAGTCTTGCCTCTTTCTTCTTTCAGGGAAGTCAGGTAAACACGCCAATTCAACATGGACGCAGTCCTCTTCACATTGCCGTACAAGCTCAAAAGCTGGACGTTATGAAGTATCTTGTATCGAAAGGAGCGGATGTCAACGTAAGTTATTTACTCGAGCTCATTTACGAAGCTTCAAAGAGACTGATTTTAAAATAATGGTAACCTCTTCAGGTGCTGTCTACCATGACGCGGTCTTTTTGCCAATTGAACTAATGAATGAACTGATTCAGTAATGATAACTTAACGAGTCGCCCTTCTTCAAAATCATAGTAATACCTGGATTGAATGAAAACATCCCAGAGACGACAAAAACAACACTGTTATTGATCTTCAAGGGTGCCACAACCACGAATTTGACAGCTTAAAGTCCTTCGATAATTTTCATTTTATTCAACGAAAGACCTTTCGACCTTTGAAATGAAGCCCCATTGTTTCAATTTGAATACAAATCTATTAGGGTGACCAACTAAATCAACTGAAAAAGGAAAAACAAAAATGGTTCATATCAGTGATTGATTTAAACGATCGCCTAATGCCGGAGATAAAGTCAATGTCATCGTGTGTGTGGACTAAAATACGTTCTTTCATTGAGTGACGTCATATTATTGTTCAAGTGAAGCTCCCTGTTTATTGACATATTTAATCCAGAGGCAACCTTTCTTAGCAGTGAAGAGTCAATGATGGATAAATAATTTTTTTTGTGAATAACTTTAACCTTAAGTCTTTCTAGATGTATAATTCCAATATGTAGCCACATTCCTGCGTTGCACCCTAATTTCTAGAAAGGCGTGAAACTATTGATCTTTTACATAACATCACGAACACCGGAAAATTTCACACGAACCAAGTTACTTTACTTCAAAATGTACGTGACTGAAATCTTTTAAAGTTTTCTCACGCAAGAGCGTGGAGTTAGCTTTTTTTTCAAATGGAAATAGAAGTGCTTCGAGGAAATTTCAGGTTCAAAGCTTTATCCAGTCGGAGTACGCTGTTGATAATTTACTGTCCGAGATATAGAAATCATAATGAAATGAAAACGTGAAGTTCAAGTAACGAGTAATGTTTAGAGGATACGGAGAGAATAAAGATCATAGCAAATGAAATGGGAGATTTATGGGAAGTGTAACATGTCCGCAGAATTATATTAGATTATCTTAAGGAAACGAAAAATTTAATAACGGAAAAAACTTAAATAACGAATTAGTTCCCCCTACATTCGGCCTCTTACAATTTACACCTTAATATAAGCAGGGGCGATTTCCTGAGTGTGTATTGGAGAATACATGGATGAATTTCGTACCTCGAATTTCAAACATGAAGAAAATTTCAAATGCTAGAATGTGCTTCTGCAAGAAAGATTCCGTAAATAAGATTTTTTTCAACGGATTAAAATTTGTAAAGTCGAAAATATGAATACTATGACGGCATCAGTTCTTTGCTCTCTTCTCCTCGCATGGATCTACTACATCTCAGATTAGTTTTGGGGTATTGAAGTGGAAAAGACCTAGTTTCCTTTCCTATTTATATTAGATTCAGTCAAATGTATGTGCATGAGTGGAGAAATAAGTAACTTAATAAGAGCTTTAACAGCTTTATATCCTTATATATGCAATACACATCTTGCTAAAAATATTTAGATTTTTTTTCTTCCCCAGTTAGCTGACGAGGATGAGTGTTCTCCATTGTACTACGCAGTTATGAATGAGAACAGCAATCTTGTGGAGTATTTGCTGCAAATGGTAATGAGAAAGCGTAGCTGAAAGAGAGAATCCTCTCACTGTTTTGTTTAAATCTTAGCCAACTTCCCTGGAAAATGTTGTCACATTGTCCGGAGTGACAAATCGATAGGACTGAATGGGGATGCTGAATTTCTGGCAATTATGAAGGATCAAAAAGGATATGTTCCGTGTTTGGATTCATTACGATTTTAAAGTGTCTTTTCAAAAGACATTTGGCGTTTTTCTCACTGGAAACTGTTTTCGTATGTTTTCATCCAATAACATGTAGGTGCACAGTGGAGGGGGTATAATGTACTTTGAATCAAGATTCACAAGGAAGAACGTTTGCTGAGCCACCTGATTGAGCACATTAGGGCCTGTGATTGCTGAGCTACATCAGCTCATCTAATTAGCTCATGCTAAGCAGGGCTTGCCAAAAGCATCGCCATTTAGCTATATTTTAGAGATTAACAATTTCTGGTTATATATCTGGCTTTTTTCTTTTTTTTTTTAATTCAACTTAAATTCTATTTAAGGAACTCACCGACCTTTTCCAGTGTTAGCAGGGAAGAAATAATCGTCCGTAACTTTAATTCAGCAACCATTTGTTAAAACCGGAATGGTTTTAACTACCTAATACGAAAAAGACCCATTTCAGATGAATAACCTTTACTACTTGTATGAAGAGCTAACATTGTAATTGGTCACTTTCTTAGGGTAAACGAGAGTCCGCAGTCAGAAACTGTCTTACCGTCTAGCGGTCTTTGTACAGTTAATAACGCTTGACGCTGGTGCTCTAAGTATCTTTGGTTCAAAAATTTAACTCAATTTCACTGAAATTGTGATAATCCATGGCGCACTTTGTTCCACTGAATATCCATTCCAAAAGTTGACTTCCTACTTTGAAATTTTCAGGGTGCAGATCCCGATAGAGAAGACCCAGATGGGAAAAAATTGATGGACACTGCGAAAGACGAGAAGATAAAAACCATGTTGAAGAATGCTTAAACTTTTGGTAAGTTGATTACTAATGTGGATGCAGTTTGATCATTCACATATACTACATGGCAATCATTCAAAATACCCTCCTGTATGGTTATTGAAAAGACAGAGCTCGATGTTTAAGAGGTGAAATGGTTATTTATAGCAAACTCCACGATTCTTTTTTTTCTTTTTTTTTCCTTTTTTTTTTTTCATTTTGTAATTTCTTCTTAATCTTACCTTCAGGAAAAGACGCAGCCAGGCTGAAGGGTTGAACATAGTGTGAAATAAAAATACATAAGCGATGTTTGAGAAATAACAAAGGTATTGACCATGTCTGAGTAGGCTGAATAGTTCTGTTAGGTGCATTTATACCGTCTGCGAATGGGAAAATAAACGCTTTGGGTAATGGCAACTTACCATAACATGACATCATTCATAAATTGCGCGCTGTAAGAGAAATGGGACTACTTGTAATGCTACGGCTGGTTTACTAGAAAAAGCTTGAACACCTTGAAAGCTATTTTCCAAATAGTTGCGAATTTTTTCTCTTTCATCTTACTTGTCAGTGATGTTGCAAACAATGTTGAGCTCAGTCGAAAGAAGAAAAATGGTAAAAAAAAAAACATTGTCACATTTTAGTATATTTAAGGAAACTGAGCTCTTCTAAATAGGTAAAATTATGATTATTTCTTGAATTTAACATGTAGCAAAATTTGTGTTGTTGTGTGCTGGATTGATCTTCTGTTCTGGGTTCACGAAAGGCTTGATGTTGGCTCTGTAACCGGAAATAATTGATTAAATTTCGAGTTAAGATAGCATAAAAGACATAGTTTCAATCACGATATTGATTTTACATATACACATAAACCAGGAATCAAGGCGTCATACTTTAATTGGCTTGAAATAAAACGGCGTAATTTATTCTGCTCTCTTACGATACTTTGTATTACTTCCTTTGTTAGCGTGATCCTTCGGAAATTAGCATAGCATGATTTGTAGCAAAGAAAGAACTGATTTTGTGCCCGGCACTTATCTGATGTAAGATCGGCTTGCTTTGAGTCGATCTTCGTGAAAATTGAGGTCTCTCACGCCTAATTTTTTCCGCGTTTTTTAATTCGACGACGCTGTGAAGGTCTCGGTAATTCAGTGGGAGCAAAAATATATTAAGCTACTCTTCTTGTGGCAGGAGTGGTTGCTTGAGTAATTAATTGATCCTTTTCCTTGAGTGTCCCTCTCCAAATAACTTTTGATTCAGATTTCGAGCAAGGGGACTTTTCAAGAAATAAAACTGAGAAAAAATTTCGAGAGAAGTTGACTTCTCTTTGGCACTTGGAGAGATTTTCTCTAAAGGAAATCGCACTTTAGCTAGTTTTCCTTGAAAAGTTTTCATTGCTGGTGCATAGTTTTCCTTGCATCAGCTTTCATTCCTGCTGCATAGAAGGATCAACGCTTCCCTGTCGAGTGATTTGGGCGAGAAAACAAAACGAAATTAAATCATTGCAGGTTTACATGACTTTCCCTCTACTTACTTCGCCATTCTGCCCACTTAGGCATCTTAGTCATATAAGCCGCCTTCCTCCAAAGCAAAGTTTAGATATTTAAAATCGCTTTATCCTACCAAGCCGAAAAGAAGTGCATTCTCAGGCTGATCATAGTTAGTAGGGCTGATCGTTATTACTGAGACTACCTATTTTACAACAGGCCAGAGAATATGCTATAAGACGACTAATTGAGACATTTTTCAAGATTTTAAGGTTTTTTGACTGTCAATGACCTCCCGAACTGCCTAAGAACTCTAACTGAGGACATATCTTCACTTTTAAGCTACTAAACTTAATCTGACAAGCATCAGTTGCAGTTAAACTCATCGTCAGCGTATAGTAAGTGGTGTGTTCAAAAGCGTGATGCAAGTGACAACAAACAAAACACATTTTCTTCCCTACGTAAGAAGGTCAATTCGTCTGTGGATCCTCATCCTTATCTCATTCAATGGTCTCCATTATGTTGTTACTGAATGACGATTTAAAACACTGACCATAAAATTCCTTAATTTTATCAAAAATGATTCTCTCATAGCTGACTCCAAAATCGTCACTTTTTTAAGAACCATTACCTGGCTTGTCTTCCCGTCAAACTTCAAACTGTACCATCGCACGCCAAAAAAAAGAAACCCCCCCTTGTCACTTTACTGAATTTACATCGATATCACTAATACCTCTTCATCATGAAGTTAACAATGAATAAAAATAATACAGCTACAACAGGAAACAAATTAAAATTATTTTGGATTAATAGGCATTTTCCCGTATATAGGTTTGATGTCAAGTTAAATTAGTCTCAACTTAAAGTGCTACATCAATAACCAGTTAGCCATGGTGATTTTACATCTTACGAATAATCAATGTAAACATATAACTATACCAATACTCTATCGATACGATTGCTGAGTAAGAGAGTCCAATTTTTTAGAATGTTTTATTGATCTTATATTTTAAATGTGTTTAAGGTCAGCTGCGGTGAAGTCAGCTGGAGATGAGCGAAATAATCAAACGACGCACACAATGAACATCTGTCAATGATGCAAATACAAGAGCGGATAATTTTTTTGTTGTTGTTCAGAGATCCTCTTTTGAAACAGTAAAAAATCTACGTAGTACGTAAACTTGAGCAATACCAACCGAAACAATGACAAATGATTGTCCTACTGACCACCACTGAACTCTTTGCTTTAAATATTCGGCGGCCATTCGGGTGTTTGCTTCTCGTAACCTGTAATAATTTTGATATCTCTCGATCAGGTTCATATTTTCGTGAATATTTAGGAAAGACTTCTCGAAGAGAGTCAAGGCTGTTTGTGTTCCGCTGACTCCATCATAGCCCAATTCGTCTTCATTCCCTTTGACTAGATCGAAGTAAACAAGATTTTCGCCAATAGAGAAGTCAAAAACGTTACTGAAGCAGATTGCGTAAGTTCCGTTCATGGTAGCGTTAAATTTGTGGAGATCATAGTCCTTCTTTTCTTCTTTGTAAATAACGTCGCTGTCGGGTCCTTCGATGTACACGTCTATGCGAGGATCGGCACCGGTGATAGGTGCATATTCCAGCGAGCATTCCGTGTTTTCCACCAGGTCCTCGTAGAAGCATTCGAAGCCGCTAAGTTGAAATTGCAGATGGCGGCTATTTGCAGGTATCAAGTGTAAACACAGCGCAAAAATTACGGTCAAAAGGCGCATCTTAGCGTCGTTGTTCACGCTTCAAGGGGCAGAAATAGGGCCAAATTTGTCGAGTCGTGTACTGGAGCAAAACGAGCGAGCCTCACGCTATGTAAAGGTTCTGAGGGTGTCAAACGATTTCCCCCATGTCTGGTTGGAGTAATATTCAAAGTAAGTTTTGTTTAAAGGAAATTTGCATTCGAAAGGACAAGGCCACGTGGCGATTTATGAACGCACGCGCGATTGGCACCTTCTCGACCTTGAATTGTTCAGTTTCCTCGTTACTGCCGTTTCTTCTCTAAATATTGAACCTAATACGAAGAACTTTCAGGCAAAAAGCGGACAATGTTCTCTTATTACAGTTTAATTCCTCAATCCATTGCAAGTGAAAATGTCTACCGATCCCAGCTGACAGGAAAAAGCAAAAGAAATTTTCTAGAATTTCAATTGATTATTAAACGTAAATCGAAGCAGAATGCGACCCCTCTAGGTAGTCTATAGAAGAGGGTTTCGATGATAAAGCGACAAAAAAGAATTAATCGTTAGGCGTAAAAATTAACAGATGTTAACCGCTAGTCGTGAAAGAAGTTAACCAAAAAATATTTCTTTCATTACAACGGGGAAAAAAACCGTACGCCACAAAAAGGGTCAAATCTTAAACCGCTGGCCGTAAGAGCCATCGCACCATTGCGACCCTTATAAAATTTTAATTGATGTCATGGTGTAACTAAGATTTACGAGGTTCATTTCTATTTGCAAGGAAAGACAGATAAATTCTAAGCGAAGCCGCTAAATACGAGCAACATAACCACTCAAAATAGCCAGTTTCCTGGGTAACGTTAATATATCAATTCATCAAAATGACAATGCACATAAGAAAAAAAAAATAATTAAGCTCATTCATTGAAGAAGCTTGAGTGATAAAGGCTTAACGTGTGCATATTAGAGGGTCTCATCATGCTGACGACTTTTACAGCTAAACGGTAAAATTTTGGCCAATTTAAGGCTAACGAATAACATGTTCCCATTGCTGTCACCCGCAATTTTTTATGGTTACCTTTCTTCACGACTAACGGTTAAAATTTGTCAATTGTTGCGTTTAACGGTTTATTGTTTTGGCTGTGGTACGGCCAGTGGTTAACCCCACTAAGATCTTCATTTTATCCTCATGTGTAGTTATGGTTAGACAGACAGAAACCCTTACGCGAATAACTGACTATTTTCATAGAGTTGCCGTGTTCAAGCGATTCAATCTCGTGATGAGGCTCGTCACCGATAACGTTTGACAATCGAGGAAAAAGCTCAACCACTGTAGTGTGCAGCTAATGGGTATATTTATACGTCCCCTGTATGGAATACTAGTCTATTGCACGTTATCGACCTCCTTTCAGGGAGGAGATCGTCGTATACGTTACTGACGTATATAATATAAATTATAACTCATCGAGAAGATAGAAATGACTATAAAAATATCTTGGCGGTGATGAACATCTTGGTTGCCGTATCAATCTTGTTGACAAGGTCATACTCATAACGACTCAAGTAAGGTTTCGCCTGTGTCTTTGAATATGTGAATCAAAGAATGAATGAATGAATTTATGAATGTGACTGGATGGTCACATTTCATCCTCTGATTTCAACAATTACTCGCATCTTGCAATACCATCTTCATTTCAGTCAATTTAGCTCGCTTTGTGTTCCTGTAATATATTAGTGCTTTACGAAAGTAATCAAATCAAAAGAACTCATTTCCCCTGTTACTTCTTTGGTATTCATCATTATTTTAAGGTGTCTGTAAGCTGTCCGATGCATAGTGTACCTATGATAGTTATAAATCTTCACATTTTTTAGACGCACTTTTTCAGTAATTTCTGTTTTACTCTTGCCTACATCCGTTTCTATTTCTTCTAACGAGAAGGTTTTAACCAGATATGAAGTTAAAAATTTGGTTAAGTATGAAGCCTTCTATTCAGAGGCCAAGGGTAGTGCGTTGAGTAGCGAGACAGGGGAGCATATGTGAAAATATAATAAGTACTAATTTAAAGAACAAACAAAATATATGGAGATATAGGCGGAAAGAAAGGCTGTAAATATACGAAAATGAAGGAGGAGATCAAATCACTGAGAAGAAGAAGTATTAAAATGTGATTCTCTTGCTATTTGATTAGATTCTTCTCCTCTTAGGGTATATCTTCTTTGACCACATATGTTTTGTAAACACAATATCACACTGATGAATATATTTTTATTAGCATTGCTATCATTATCATTGATAAAATTGGTTCTTCTTAGCCTTCAATTATTTTATTGAGAGTATTCCACTGTGCTCCTGCCTCCTCAATAGTATTTGAAAATTATCAGCAGCAATGCTAGCTGCTACAAAAATGTCGATTTAAGTGGTAAAAGTGATATTATAGAGTTCAAAGTATTTTCAATGAAAACCAGACGATTTCAAATAATGAGTTAAAATAGATACCGCAGTCAAGCTTTTAATCTTCGAATATCTCTTAGCTAGTCCATCTGTATTGTATTGTATTGTCTTTTCAATTTCTAACAAGTAACTGCATGCTGTACACCAATGAAAACATACATATAACTTCCTATTATCAGATCAGCCACGAGCACCCCGGAGGCTTTCTACTTGGTCGGAAAATAGTTTTTCTTTTTTAGTTATAATCTCTGTACAATGTATAGCTAATTCAGGAGATTAATGTGACTGAAAAATACAAATAAAACAAAAGAAAACGCTTAAAAGTTATTCAATTAAATTTTCAAACATAATTCGCGATTACAAGTTGTCCAATGCAAGCCGACTAGAATAGATCGGTTCAAAAGCACTTGTCTGTGAAGACAAACTCAGAGGAGTAACTTGTGTATGGTTACTGGTGCACGTGCTGGTACATGGATGAGGACTTCCCGAAACATATGCTGGGTACGTTTGGAGCGGCGCGTATGAACGGTGAAACTGAGCATGTGCATGAGCGTGCACGTGAAGGTCTTGAAAGTAAGCTGCAGACACCGAAGGCTGTGGCGTGGGAATGACTGGGGCTTGTGGAATAAGGTAAGGGAAGTGAGATCGTAGTTCATCATAGCTGAACATCATGGACCGTCCTGGTCCTTTCATTTTCATCATTCCGTCTTGATCCAGACCCCTGGAAAAGGCATAAATGGAGAGTTAACTTTAATTTAACTTATTTTTATCAGCACCCATATCATTACACTTTAACACTTTTTATTCATCAGTAGCATGGTGGTGTTGTCATTCAAGCGACTTCAAAGATTATCCAAAGCTATAATCTAATCAAGAATGTTCTTCGATCCTCATCTTTCGTTAGGCCAAAGAGGCAAATAGTATAAAAAAACAACAACAACAATAAATAAAACACTAATATTATCATACAATACAGAAATTATACAAATATATATTCTATTCCATATTATATTCATATTCTATTCTGCGACTCAAAGAAATATATACGAAGCAAAGGGGCTGACAATGAAAAGTCAGTTATGACATGTTTCGCTTGAAATGACAACAAATGAGGACGCGGAACCATAAGTGGTACCAGAGGAACTACAAAAGTCGCCTTAACATGGCAATAAAGCATGAGAAATTTTGAGATTCAGGTCATATTTTCACGTAATAGCATAGAGGGCGACTATGAATAGTCACGTTTCATGCATTTTTTCTACAACGACGACATGATGTGTATACAATACCGAATGTGATACGTACAGTGCAGCATTGTGTTGAAAATTAGAATAAATTGCGGAAATTTCAGGCAGTAAGAAGTGTAATTCTACCGTATGCTTTCGGGAGCGCGACAAAAAACTTCTGTATTGATGTCAATAGGTATCGAATCTCGTGCTCTGATGATGGCTAAAGCCATTAGCTAATATTGTCGGTTGGTTTTTCAACGCGCAGGTGCACAAATACGCGCGAGGCTTTAAAATGAAAAGTAAACAGCGCTAAAACTTCCTATCCATTTGGACCGGGTAAATGATTGAAGCATGAGTATCAAAACTGTTGATTCAGTGATACGATTTCAGCCCGCACACAAACACTGGTGAAGTTTACGCAGCAGCACTGGCCATCGATATGAAATCTGATCTCTTTTTACAGGGAAAAACAAGGAACGAAATATTCATAACTTAATATGTAAATGTATATTTTCAATGGACAATGTATTGGCCAAAATGTAGTTCTAAGCTTTTCATTTCTTCAGAAATGAACATTTATGATAATTAAGGTAAAAATCGACTTCACATTGAAGAATGGGGTATTCATTAAGCTTTTCACATAAAATCAATCCAACAATCAGATGTTAATGTCTTCGTTTTATAAGTGTTTAACATTCATTTCTTTCTCGTAGTAATTACTTCGCCTTTTTTAGCTCCTTTTGTTTTCTCGTAGCGTGAACAAGGAGAAACATTTTTATGGCGGTAATTAATTCGAGGAAATCTTAATAGTGTATTCATTGAATATTCTAGACATCACTGGAATTGCCATTCAATACAAGACTTTATGCAGATTCGATACATTGTACAATGCACCGCTAGTTCTCATGTCAGAAGTGTCTAAAAACACACGTTCTCCTTTTGAAACTGAATGATTTCAACGTAAAGAGCGTGCAATAGGAGACGCAGATGCCGAATGCCCTTTTTGCAAATACTCTGTTTTGTAATTAGCGGCTTGCGATTCAGTTCTTTGTCGGTCAATGTTTCGGGGATAATCGGAACCTATTAACATCTAATCGGCTGGAATAGGGTGTTAATAGGCGCTTAAAGGCTTAAGCAATGACTCCCTCATTAAACAACTTTGCAGAAATTATCATAAGAGTAAAGGATGGTTATCACTGGAGAAAAATAATGAAAAACTGATACATGAGTATCGCAAATTTGACCATAACACAAATGTATCATTATTAAAGAAGAATTTCAAAAAGCATTATCAATATTTCCGTTTAATCTTAGAATGAAATCGCACTTCTATCTTCGCACTAAAATGCTACCTTTAGAGGAAATGAAGGTATTTTACTTGTATTTAGTTTTTCTCGCACAGATCTCATCAAAAACGTGATAATCAAAGGTAAAGATAGGCTCAAATATTTCTGAACGATTGAAACATTTATAGATAATCGAAACAAGGTTATTTCTACTCTCAGTTGATTTTAGCTAGTATCTGTAACGGAAACTCAGTAATTTTCTTTTAAGGAGCTATTAATGAGCAACCAGAAACATGAGCTAGAATAAAGAGTTAAAAAAAACTCTTAAAATGTAAAGGTAACCAGTAACATAATTCTTTGGTCTAGTTCACAGCCATGCAAATGAAACACAAAAGCGAAATCGTGACCTCTCATGATCATACATTTTCAAATAAACATGTAAAAGAAAATAAACTGGTCTAAACGAGTGAGGGACTAACCTACCCTTTTCTCATTTCTGCAGCGCGCACTCGTTGCCTCTTGTTCTTAAACCAGTTACTGACTTGTGTTACAGTGAGATCAGTCATCTTCGCTAGCTCATACTTCTCACGAGGAGTGGGATATGGATTGTCGGTGTACGCCTTGTTCAGAATGTTCCTCGATTTCTCCTTGAAGCAGTAAGTGGTCTCCTCGCCGTCCCAAATCGTCCGAGGGAGAGGGTACTTTCTTCGCACACGATATTTCCCTACAGCTCCCAAAGGCCTGCCACGTTGCCTTTCCGCTTCGATGTAGTGTGCTGTCCTCCAGAGACACTGTAGTCGTTCATGGTTCTCTTTGGAGAACTTGTTGCTCTCGAGTATTGCGTACAATTCCTTGAAGTTGTTCTGATAGAAGTGAACAACAGCTTTCGAGACAAGAATTGTCTCGGTAGTTTTCTCGTCGCTTTCTATATCTGCGGGTAAGGACCATAGAAATCGCGAAAGGCGATCTATCTCTCCGTTATTCTGGAGAAACTGGCAAACTGAAGCAACTTGACCTGAAGAGAATGGACAAGGAAGCATATCAGCAAAGTAAGGAGCTGTGTGTTTTACGCCTCGGTCGTTCAACGTGTTTCCTTCAAGGGTCGCCGTGAATGAACGTATACGGTGTTGCACAGTCGTATTATATAGAGGTCTCAACTCGTGATCAAGGAACGATTTTGTTTCGGCACAGGTTCGAGGCTTTGTTGACTTATCTAAACATTCCCGCTTTTTAAATGGTATTGTCCAAGCCATAAGTTTAACAAAACCCCTTTTAGTGGACATGTCAGCCTTGCATCAAGTGTCCAGTTCCTCAATTAGTTTGTCATCAGCATGAAATAGATTCAGGCAAACTTGTTTGTTTTAGCATCTAGGATGGTCTATTTCATTTGAAGTATCTGTGGCCTGAATAAACAGCGTTTTAAGCGCTCAATTGTGGCTAGATATTGAAACCAAATTGCCGACCTTCCAAATTTTCTTCTCCGAATGTATACAAAGGGAAAGCTTTGGATAATGAACAAAACTTGAAATTTTAATCAATGTATTTCCTTTTCTGCATAGTTTGTATACAGATTCTCAATTAACTTTGCCATTGTTCCCTAGTTTGAAACTTCGATTAGTACAAAGAACGGCGTTTTCCGATCAAAAGCAAATCATTTTTTCATTCAATGTATGTTGTTCAATTCAGGGGTGTGAAATAAATCAAAAGAATTACCCCCGCGTCGTCACATTGGTCAGCCTATTTGACTTGACACAGAATTCTTCAACAAGGAAAGCAGTTGACACGTTTTTCAGGGGAACTCTAAACTTCTTCCTCAAACATGCGGCATGATCTTTAGCGCCTTAAAACATGAAAATTGTAGAAGGGAGTTAAGCCCGTGAGATCTTTGACACAAATTCTTCAATAACTACGGGAAGCTTACTTTCTTACAATAACAACTCTAAGCAATCTTACTCCACGTAATAAGGAAATAACCCAATTAAAAGTGACAATCATCTTTGGTTTTCTTAAAACCGAACAAGCGAACCGATTCATACAAGTTAAACAAGTCGCCAGTACGAAAACATCTAAGGTTTTAGCGTTATTTTTGTTGAGGGGTCTGTTTTGATTTTTTCATACAGCTGTATTTGCTTAAAATTCGATGAATTAATGCTTGAAAACTGCCGTGCACAATGACAGGTCGAGCCAAAACAACGTGCCATTTGCCTTCTTCAGTGGACTGTACATCTGCTCCCTAAGTCAACAAAAAAGACAATAGTTCCCAGCACTTGAAAAGGTTCCCGGAGCAACCTAACACAAACCCTTTTGATGTATAATATCAAATTATTAACATCTTGGATTGGATAAATTTGCTCAAATTTTTGTGATCACTTTCTCTGCTGATTAATAACAAGAATGAACAAATTTTCCACCAGCGCAAAAAGTTTGATTACAGAAATAGTATAATATGTTGCGTATAATATTATGGTCGTCTGCACGTTGTTCGCATCAGACAAGTGTATCATTAAAATGTCTCAATTTGCAAATTAGCCTGCCAAGAGGTGGCTCATTGTTATGTTGTGGCGACAATAAACTGTTTTGTTAATCAGAAGTAATTATTTAAAAAAATATATACAATTATTGGACTGCTCGTACTTTGTGTGAAACTATAAGACAATGAAAAGAATTAAAAATGAAGCATTCTGTATTCTACCAGCCTTTTTTGGAACATTTTTAGCAATTGTTCAGAGGAACCTATTACAAGTAAGACTTCATTCCTTTTTTTATTAGAAAAAAAATCCGCCGTCTTTAAAAGTGGTAAAAGCAGGCATTCCAATTTTTTCTAGCCTGTTAACTCGATGTGAAATTAACTAATACGACGATTGCCTTTATTTTATATGAAGGGAGAATATTCATTTTCCTTCTTTTTTAAAAGTGGATGAAACAGGCATTCTACATGCATTTCATTACGAAAAAAGGAGATCAAACTACGAGGACATCGACTAACAGAAGAATTACCGATTACTTATGAATTCCACGTTCAAAGAAAAAAGTTGAGTAATAAAATCCAAGACACAGAGAACATCACTGAAATTCTAAATGTCCCCTAAAGTGCTTCTGCATGCTATGGCTAATATTTTCCTCTGAAGAAGCAGCTAAATGTCCCCCAAAAATGCTTCTGCATGCTATGGCTAACATTGGTGATCATTATGTCGGGTCAAAAAGCACACGATATCCTCACAACTAATTAAAAAGATATCTCACAGTTGCTAGCCTTGTGGCTGTTGTAATCTGGAAGTCATGGTATCATAGAAGTCCTTCAGGTACCAGATACTGGCATGGAATTTCATTGCCTTAAAACGTATCACTTATTCATGACAGCACTCGAGAAAATTAAAATCTATGTGTAAATATTAATCAAAAATGACACAATTCGTGTTTCTCTTTTCGGTCTCGAAGCAAATTTCTGGCATGAGTTTGAAGAGCTCCTTGCAATTATTATCTCAGCAAAAGAAACCAAAAGAAGGGGAAATTGCGAAAGGAAAGTAAACTTCCCAACATGTTTTCAGTGAAAACCGTTGCCTTTGGTTTGAATAGTATCCAAACATTAGAATGAAATTTTTTAAATTTAGAACTGAAAAATGGAACGAAACATTTTTCTATTTTTCACAATCGCCTGGAAACACAACCATTCTTTTCAAGACATACTCTAAGTCATGGCCCCCCAAAGATAAAGAACCGCGTTTAATGTAAAAAAGAGTAAAATGATGAGATAATATAAAAAAATTTCAAAAATTGACCAATTAAATGCTCTATAAAAGAAAATGAAGAACTGTAAAATCATGAAAAATCCAAGTTTTTAGCGTCTACGATAAAGTGAAAAAAACCTTCATTTTATGCAGATAGTGCTGGCCTTCCTTTTTTCTGTAGATCCTGTCCATATCTATCTATACTCATGTAAAAGTTCTATCTTCACAGAACTTTAGCCTTTCATTACCTTTCCTTTTTATCTCGTTCAATATTGATTTAAAGGGCCACGGTTTCGTTTTCAAAAAATCACTGGAAAAATACTAACGTGAAATTATTATTTTCAGGACGATAAGAAATAGCACTGATGCAAATGAACAACAACATTTAGAACATTAACAGTTTTGAAACATTACGCATATTCTAAAAGGCCGTGAAGATCACTATTCTACACGACAGACAGGGAATACAAAATCACAACACATTCTCCGGAACTGAAGTTGTTATCTCGATATCACAAATGATATTTCACCGAGCTTGATACATTTTTTAACCTAATTTTATAGTATCATTATTTGCTGAAAACAGGACGTCACCCTGACTATAGTGTGTAAATTTGTGTTCAAAACGAGCTGCCAGTATAACGTTGCAAAAGAGAAAAGGAAGTAGGAGAGGATTTATTGGATTATGGTGAAGCAGAATGGTTGTTTACGAAACGCAGTTTAGCGAAGACATGTCTTACTCCATTTTCTATGCTTTGGGCACCACAAAGAGAACAATATTTAAAAAAATCTTTCCGTGTTTATCACTTCAGTAAACTACAGTTCGAAAAAAACCAGTTTACATATATTTGTGCTTTCATTTACATAGGCCAATTCTTGTAACAAATTCGTGCGCGAGTTTAGGATCTTATACCTATTATTTTTCCACTTATCAAGCAGCAATTTCAACCTTAAACTTTCTACAATTATTATATCGTTTAGTGATGCGTTACCCCTTTCTCACGACAACTTTGATCAGAGTGAAAAACTAGCAATCAAAACATGTAAATTAGAACCAGTTGCTATTGTATCTACTGCGCAAAAATATTTAGTGAGAAAGTCGTTGTGAGGATCATCGATCAAACAATCGAATAGTGAATAAAATCTACTTTGTAGTCAGGGGATTGCTTTCCAACCTACAAAAAGGAAATAAATGGTGTTCTTCTTGCTATACGTATTAATTCATGGTGCAGCAAGTTTCTGATACCTCCCAAATGTCCGATCTATTAGTTAATCAATCATTATTCCAGTAACTCTAGCACGCCGTGAAGGTATAGGCCCTAAAAACTAAAAGTGCTTCAAAAATTTTAAGGACGTAGAGAATATCGTTGTTTAATAAAGCAGAGCGACTAATATCAGTAAAGTGTTCTAAATTTTTTCCCAATACCCAACGAAAAAAGAGACTTTTAATTGTTTCAGTTGAGGTGTTTGCATCAATCTTCTTTGCTGTGTCTACTGTTTCTGTCGATAACCAGATGTTTTTGATCCTCATCTGCGGCTTGGTGCAATACTGAGGGAAGATGTATGAGCTCTTAAAAATGAACAGAAGAGAGGTAGAAGGCACAACCATTCTTTCTTGACTATGCATTACTAATCATAAATCCAGGGCTTAAAGCTTACTAATATGAAAATGCTACATTAAAAATATCATCAAATTTGCAATGAACTTAAACAATTAATTTTGATAAAGACGACGATGACTAAATATAACATTTTAAAAGCTGTTCTATTGAGCACATCTAACACATGCCTTATTGTACGTACGAAATTAATCATCACTGTTTTGGAACAAATTAGTTCCAAGACAACAAAAAAAAACATGTTCTCGGAGACTACGTGTATCTGTTAAAACATAAGCACCAAACAACCAAAGCAAGGGAACTAATTAAAGTTTTGTTTAAAATCATGAATCCACTGGGATAATCCATACGCGCTAAATAAGACACGTACAATCATACAACTAGCTTTGGCGTACAAAGAAATTCGGATAACAATCGCGTTATCATCGGAAAAATTATATATTTATACTTATAGAAAGTACACACAAAAATTGTTTGGGTGAATATTGCCAGCTTTGAACAGTTCACTGAGGAGAAAAAAGGAAGATGAACAGTAAACGTTCAATTTGTATGGGAAGATACGTGCTTTTTAGAACTGCTAAGGAGCTCTCTTAATCAACAGTATGACCATCGAGAAGCCAAATAAAGCAACTTTTTCCAACAATATGTCTATTATTTCCTTCCACACTTTTGTTTCTTTTTTTTTTTCGGCACAATTTAATCAACAGATGTTTTCTGGTTAACACAAAAATTTTAAACAACCCTGGCTCCATGCTAATTTTAATTTTCATCGAATTCGTGTGTTCCTCTTGGTCGTTGCAATCGTAGGGATGAGTGGAAATGTTCTAGGCCCTCGGCACTTGTAGAGTTGCCTTTCTAGATCTATTCGTTCAATAAAACTTGAGAGTATTTCAGTATTCCCAAATG